GGGCAAAATATGATTGTTTCACCAAAAACAGATAACTTTTTCAGGCTTTGTATTAAATGAGTTGGAAAAACTAAATAACACACAGCCATCAAATATTTCAATGTCATATTTGAATATCGCTCCACATCCTGAACCATATTATAATTTTATAGTGTATTCTTTTCTTTAACTAAATAACACTGTTTTAACATTTGAAGTTTTACACAGTTCATTATTTCAAATAATCACTGAAAATTATATTGTAAAAGTAATAAATAATTATATTTCTTCATATTTTATTGATGTAATGTCAATCACATTGCTATCATTTATTTTCTAATATGTACTGACATGTTCTTTCAAAAAAATATGATATGATATAAAAATTATATTACTTTAATTATAAATTCATTGTTAGTTCTGATTTATAGTAGCTGGGTCAGTTACTGTTCATTATTTTTTATTGTTGTACAATACTGAATACAAACATCTAGTTAATCCTAGAAAGCAGAATAGAGTTCATAGAGTGATTATCAATGGATAATATAATATGCATTCTGCACATTGTGCATTTCAACAATGTATCCATCTTGAATATTGTATCTCATATGACTATTATGACTTTTGTATTAATTTAATTTCAGAAAGAAACTTTGAGATCCATTGTAAATATTTCTAATATAACATCAAGCTTATATACTATACTATCACATATAATTCAATTATACTAGTTTATATATGCAGAAATTATATTAATGGAACAGGGTTTTCTCCCAATTTTAATTTTCAAGATGCAAAATATAGGCAAATATTTTTAAAGTGTTCAATAGGTGAATTTAACTTAGTAAACACCAAATATTGTGTTGAAACTAAACATTTGCACAGCAGTCTAAACTGTGGTACCCAGTTTTATATGTAAATCTGGAAATTACACATTGGTAAATAAAAACATAAACATCACTTTTTAAAATATTGTCTTAGCATGTATATTCACATATAATATAAAATAATATTTTATGATAGCATTAATTAGTAGATAGCAGATACTCTAACTATTCAATATATTATATTTATCTTCTTGTATTTTTCTGGTCTTGTTCTCTTTAACTATCTATATTAATCAGTTGGTTTTGGCATGAAAATATAGAGAATTATGCAATACATAAAGAAATACAATAAATGCTTAATAAAATGAAAAATGAAAAAAAAATGAAATTCCTTTTCTATAAGTTCTAGCAAAGTAGGCCAATATATGTAATTTCTGGGCAGAACAAAATTATTTGATTCCTTCTATAAAAAAATGCTGTTTTTGAGAAACATATTCTAAAACATATGTCAGGAAGATGTTTGACAAACTTTATTAAGATTATTTGTTATCATTTGAATAGTATGGAGTAAAAATTCTATATACACTGTATCCTTAGTCTGTTTTTTAAATCACAGAACAAGGATTCGGGAGATAAAGGGATATATTCTCAATCTGCTTTTTTATTATTAACCAGTTTTAAGAACTGGTAATTATAACAAAACTGTCTTTCCATTTATTATTATTTTCACTATGTCAGTTTGGTAAACTGCATTATTTTACTTCGTTTGAACATCATCTAGATGGCTTATTCTAATAATACATTAAACTAATGAATGTAAACTATATGTAATGACTTATTTAAATCTTTAAATAAGATTTAAACATATTTAAATCTTTGAAAGTATTTAAAATGTGAAAATATGCTTTGTGTGTTGTTTAGGAGGATTTCAAAATTACTAGTAGATGAAATTGAAATGCAAGTAAACTACCCTAACTGTAAGTAATCACTGTACATTGTAAGATTAATAATGTATGTTATGTGCCATATTCACAACTGAGCACCATGCTGGCCTACTTTTTATTCTTTGTTTATTCAGAGTGGGCAGAAGTTAATGAATCGGTCAACCAGCATTACTTTAGTTGCTTTGGTGAATTAAGTCCAAATTATTGAGTTTATAAATCTCTATTTTAAAAAAAAACAACCCTTGTGTACTACATAACAAGTTAAGAAAACAGTTTTCCCACCATTAATTGCAACTGTAAGCAAGAACCGGTAGACAGTACTTTATTAATCAGAAGTCTTATAGTAAGCACACGTTAGAGAAATTAATCATTCATCCCCTGCTGACTGCTTATGTATTTCATCAGGCCATTATCTGATCTGAATAACAAGAACAATTGCATAATGAAATGCATTACTGCTGACACCAGCAACTTTATCCACTCCAAAAAGGTAAGTACTTCCTTAGCACAAAAGAGAAAGTTTTCCCTGTCTGCAAATCTATTCCTTTTTCACTATCCCGCAATGCATTTTATTATTCAGTAGTTTCATACATTTTACGTAATTATCAAAAGAGGGCCTTAAACATAGTATACATTCTAGGGAAATTATATCAAGTCTTTTCCAGAGCATCCAAATCATTTTCAGAAACAGAGTTCACTATTCCCATTACAAAATAAACCAAAAAGTTAGCACAGAAAATTTCAGATGATTCATAACATATCCTTACCTATCCACCAATGTTTACACTTAAACAAACTAAGTCACCTTGCTCAATATTATGTAAATTGCCCAAGCATTTTTCCTGGGAATTTTTGGAAACCTGATATTTTCATCTAATCTATGAAAATCGTCTGGAAAGTTACTTTCACTGGGGACAATAATTCTGCTATTGGGTATAAAGAGAGCTCTGTAGGTCCCAAAGCAAATGTCCCAAATGCTGACAGAAGAGTCCGAGAGACTTGTCAAACAAGCTGTGACAGTTGAAATCAGAAGGGATAAAGAGAGTATATGAGTTGCAAAAAGATGGATGAATGGCAGATGGCATCAAAGAGCTGGATTATCCATCTCTTTGCACATACTTTTTCCCTTCATTCATTTACAAGCAGGGTGAAGGAGGAGAGTGAGAAGAGCAAGAGAATAGAAAGCAGCAATCACCAGGGCACACCCCCAAGGCCTCCAAGAGCTTTATTTTCAGCAGATGTTTATGCTGAGTCAATGGCTGACTCATCAATAACAGTAGCATGGTAGCAGCAACTGGGTGGTGGCCCTTTCTTCCTTCCTTCCCTCCCTCCCTTCCTCCCTCCCCACTCTTCCAGTACAACTTTTACTGGGACCCAATATCTGCAAAACTCCAGATGATCCACAGATGTAGCAACAAAGACATATGTGAAACTCTCTTTGCTATTCTGATCATCCAGATATTTGCAATTCAAGCAAGATAGCCCTATCCAGCTCATCAAGGGTTCTTGAAGCCCTGGGTCAAGGGAGACCCCACTGGGGTTTTCCCCATTTGGGCCTTCCTCTGCCTTCCCTATATTTAAGTCACTGTTTGTTACATTTTGAACACTGTTAAATAACCTAGCTACAATCATCAGTGCTGCTGTTTAAGTGTATTCATCCACAAATGTCAAAATTGATTCCTCCTTCTTAGAACTGGCAACCTACCCCAACATTATATTCATGGGAGCCAGAAGCCATTATCCCAACTAAGGTTTCTAATATTAATATGTTAAGCCAACTTTAATTGGAATAATCACAGTATAAATAAATCTTATTAGAGGGTTAGTAAAATAGCTGAACTTGCAAGAAATATTTCCATATTTCAATATAACTATTAGATACGATTTGTGAAAAATCATCAATAATAAGATATTACCTAGTCACCCTTGGCAGTTTAGGAACTATACACTTTTGAATACAATTAAAATGTATTCTCCCAATAGATGGAGAAAAAAATGAAGAAATCTAAATAACTTTGAACAATGAAGCCATATAATTGCTGATGTTGCTTCAGTCTTCATCTGAATTTCAGTTTCTGTTATAAATGGAAACATACTTGAATTTATGACTTATATACTCTTGAAAGCTCGTGTACAGTATATAAATATATACCCTAGAGAATAATGGGAGAATATTAAAATCAAAATCCATTTGGCAATAAGAAATAACACTGAGATGTTATTGATTCAATCAATACATTCAAAACATACTGATTATTTCTACCAGAAAAGGTTTTATTACAATTTGAAATGCAGGGTGGTGGGTTTGGGGTTTTTTTGTTTTGTTTTTAGAGTGGTTATTTACTTATTTATTTATTTGGATTTACTATTTAATAATGTACTACTTCAATCTTTGATAAGAAATAAACAAGTATTGGTAACAGCATTCTTGTCCAAAGAATAATAATGCCCTTAAAACTTTTTTGTTTGTACAAATCCTGATTAGGTTTTTTACTGCTGCATTGTTTCACTTTACTTTATGTCATTAAGTAGTTCATAATATTCATGGCCTAATCCCAATTCAGGTCTCCCAGAGTGTGCTCTCTCTGTCTGCATCTTTCTCTATATGTGCACTCATACATACATATATAGACACATACGCATATGTACATACAGAACCATGCATGCATACATTCTTACTTGTATCTTGTGCATGCACTGTGTCATCAATATATTGTTTAGATAGATAAAACAATGACAGCAAACAGGCAATATCCTTGAAGAGAAGATTAGAGAATACTGCTGAAATTAAAGCAACTAACCCAAGCAGGAAATCCACTGTAATATTACTACTGTATATTATTCTGGCAGGCTGAAATGACAGCTAGTGCTACCTTTCCATTTTAAATCCTCTAGGTGTCTACTGAAGAACAGTTTTGTGTAGCAAAGGAGAATCATTCTCCAATACATCCCAACTCGGAACATACTTCCACAACAGAAATAGTACTCTCAACTCTTCTACTCTAAAACACCCAGCATTTCAAAAAATATTAAAAGAAATTAATGCACTACAAAGTACATATACATACACCATCTCTCTCATACACACCCAAACAAAGCTTTTAGGTTAAACACGATTAAAGGTATCCCTTGTCTTTTTCCACGTCTGCTAAAATTATAAGAGAAATGGATGTTGCAGCTTATGGGACAGACAGAAAGAAGCAGACTCTTCGGATTCAATAATAGCCTTCCAGAGCCAAAATCGACTTACTAAATGCAGCCAGCTCGGACCTCTCTGGGAATCTTAAGGAGTCTTCGCTTTCCGCTCCTGCCGGTCACGATCAAGAACAGTCCTCTTATTCCATAAAAGGCCACGAATGAACTGCAAAGAAAGACAACCACATGTCACAGATCCAGCAGGTTTGTTTTGGTGCTGAAGAAAGGTTGCAGACTGGGTGGGAGGGGGGGGTAGAAGAAGGCGGCCAGCACGGCGATGTTTAAAAGTGCTCTCCCTCCCTCTCTTTCTCTTCTCTCTCTTTTTTCTTCTTCTTCTTCTCAGTCCTCTCCAAATTGCAAGGTGGATGGGAGCTTTATCTCTTTGCCTCCCCCCCCCCTTCGCCAATAATAAATAACTCAGTGGGTCGCGCGCGCCGTGCCCAATCGCGGCTCTATAGGGCTGAAGACGGTACCTGCAACTCTCTGACGCTGAAGCTGCCAGAGAGGAAAGTGTGCGGTGAGGAAGATAGAAGATTAACACAATTTAAAAATAAAAAATAAAAAGAAAGCGAAGAGGAATAAAAGAATTAGGCGGGTTGTGGCAGTCGGACTCCTCGGTTTAGCAATGGAATAATAACTAAAGAGCGATCGCTGGGGATCCGAGGGAGAGCGAGGGAATCGGCGGCGGCGCTATCAAAGCGAACCTCCACGAACACGCACGCCCCTCCCGCTGGCGAGGCGAGTGGGAAGCGAGGCGGTGTCAGGAAAAAAAAAATAGTCTGCCTCCTGCAAGCGCAAACACTCGTCTCTATGTTGCTCTCTCGGGCTCATCCCCACCGGCACCGAGCGCCGACAGCAGGAGCTTGCTGGAGACGGAGCTCTTCACACTCACCTGCATTTCCTTAACGAGCCACTTGATGGCTGGCAGTGCCCAAGCCGCTCTTTTCCTTTTGCGCGCGGGTGCTTTCCCTTGCCAAAACCCGCAGGGGAAAGGGAAGAGGGGGGGGGGGAGGCCGCGTATAAAATGTGAGCGAGAACAGCGTACCGAGCGAGAAGGAGGGAAGCGGGAGCCAGTCCGGGAATACAAGGGGACCTTTCTGGTGGCGCTTCAACTCTTTTTAAGAAAACGGATGAAAGGAGGACGTTTAAGTGTGGAGATGGCTTGGAAGAAGAGGACCGGGGTAGCCCTCAGCCGCCGTTCCCGGATGGCAATTGTCTTCTTTGTGTCACCTCAGATGTCACTTTTAGTTCGCACCACTACTGGTTTTGTTTTTTGTTTCCATACCGCCCTGAATTTGGACTGGGGAGTTTATGATGCACCCATAAAGAAGGCGTGAGGGGACAAAATAAACACCACGATCTTTATGAACTTTCTTCTTAAGCCGCCCACCACGGAGTTTGGATTTCATGGCGTGCGCGCCACTCAAATTGTGAAAGGGAGGGGAAAAAANCTGCTGGTTCTGCATCCCAGGTCGGCATGCCACTACAGTTCGGCTGAACCAGACTGAAGCGGTAGGAACCCACCACTGGTACAGTAGCCATCAAACGTCTTAAGTTAATGAATTCCACAGGTGATTTGTTATAAACTGTGAAGAAGTGCTTTAGTGTATTCTCCTTTCAGTTAGATTTCATGCAATATTCTTGGCCCAGCATTTTAAGAGACCTAATAAAAACCTTTTTTCCTGTCCACTCTCTCCATGCCCTGGATGTTTTAATGCACCTCAGTCATGTCCTTCCAAGCCACATCTTTTTATAAATGCATCAACCAAAAGTCCACATGCTGGAGGTGGAAAGACAGGCTACCTGAGTAGATTAAAAATCCCTGTGCTAATTCTGTCCCCATCTTCTTAAACCTTCCTCATCATCAGGAGGAACCATCTGCTAATCAAAGCAGCAATGCCAATCAAACAGAGCTTTGGGCAGGAGGCAGGGAGGAGAAGTAAACCAAAATGTCTCCCTGGGAGCTCTGCTAGCATAGACCCAAAGCCCAGAAGTCAAAATAAAGAGGCAAACTAAAAGATAGACAGCTCTGATGAATAGAAGCAAGACCAAAGGAGCAGCAACTGAGAAAACTGGGGTGAGAGAGGTCTTCCTTTTTCCTCCCTTTCCCTTCCCTCAGAACTGGTATGAGATCAAAGTTTCTTCCAGCAATTTCCTTTAGATGGAACAAAAATTTGGAAAAGAAGAAGACTCAAGAAGTCCCGCTGAGAACAGGCAGCTGAAAAGGCAGGAAAAGAACCAAAAAAAGAGAAGAATATAAAAGGCAAATCAAACTGTCTAGGAAAAATAATATGGCTCTATAGAGAATGACAATATAAATATATAAGGATTAAGATCTCAGAAATATGGAAGTCAGCAGTAACCAAATATATTAGAGATAGAGAACAGAAAGGTATGAAAATGTAGTGAAATTGGGCATTATAGTGTATATAGAGCAAAGAGATATATAATTTACATTTGTCTTATGTATATTTTTTATTTATAAGCTTTCAGTTCATAGAATAAAGTCTCCTTCCCAGAAACCGAAGGTAGATTCAAAACCTCAACCATCTATGTTTCCAGAGCTTTATCTCTATTGTGTCTGGTCAAACAGGACAATACTCCAGTTAGGAAAATGCCATAAATTTGTATAATATTGGCATTTTTATTTTTAACACTTTTCCTAATGAACTGTAGCATGGATTTTGCCTTTTTCAGAGTTTCCCTAGGTAGGCACCATCTGTTAAATAGCCTCTGATAACAAGATAGAAGTAGGGGATTGTAGAATAGACACTTAGGCTGCCTAACAGATTGTGCTATGCCCAACTATTGGAGAATTAAATAAATTTTGTCCAGAATATTAAAAACTATTCAAGCCAATTGCCTAGTAAACTGGAGGAAAAAAAGAGTGTGAATAGAACAGAATTAATTGAGCACAAAGAAATGATTCTAAAGAGCTTTTCCTCCTTGTGGATTAAGATACTGTGCCGTGAGAACAGTGACTGCTGTCAGCATCTAACAATATCTTGTGTGGGAAGTTTGCTAATATTTTTGTCTTAACACAGCATGAGGATTTCACTAAAGGAAGTGACAAAGCTGCAAAGAAAAATTCAGAGGAATCGTCTCACTTTCACTCACATACATGTGGGTGCGCGTGCGCGCACGCGCACACACACACACACACACACACACACTTTATTAGGATTGATCAAGAGATATATTTCTTCCCCAACCAAACTAAAAATATAAGAACATTCAGTGACCATATTCCCTAAAAACTAAGCTGTGCTTTTTTCTGGGTCAGGAATCTTAAGTTTTTAGAATAAAGTCTCCTTTGGGTCAAGTTCTCTCCCTGATGAATTCATATAGTTTTCCTGGCAAGAATACATAAGTGATAGGCATATTACTTTCTCACATTTTTTTTCTTTACTGGCATGTTTTGCTGGTGATTTTCCAATCCAAATACTAACTAAATTTGACTTTCTTAGCTTTTTGAGTTCAGCTTATACTATAAAAGGATAGGAATCAAGTCTCCAGAGAAAAATAGAATTTAGCCAGAAAGGAAAAACAAATTCTGGCAGTAATGAGCACCAGAGATTTTATCCATCATTCAGATCCCCTTGTAATGCTAGTGGATGTAGATAATCAAAGCTCATGTTTTCAAAATTAGCATTTTATTTTAGTGCTTTGGATTCAGTTGCTTTTATTAGCTCATGAGTTGCTACAAAGAGAATGTTATTCAGGGTGATAAAGAAGAATTGTATGTTCACAATAATGCATGCCGAGTCATTATTACCAGGCAGAAATAGGACTTTTCCTGAGCATGATCTAAATCTTATTTAATAATGCTATCGGCTTTCTTGTAATTTCCATGTACAGCTATAAATTGAAAATATTTAAAGCAGTATGTAAACTTGTATGAGGTAAATGTGTCTGAATATTCTATACACATCTGATGAAGAACATGTATTCCTTTTTATGAGTTTATTGTGATAAAATAAATAAAAAAAACCAGGATGCCCTTTATCAATGCGTTATTATTCTAGAATTATATGGGATTATTTTTAAAGAACTGCACAACAAGAGAATCCTTCTTGTTTAGATTTGAGGGGAAAAGAGGTTTTGAGCAGAATGCAAATGAAAGAGATTATACTATTTAAAAAATAAAAATATTTAAAGGAGAACATGATGGAAGAGTTGAGTATTTGCAGAAGTGATTTTGACATTCCTGTATTTCTAGAAATGATGTTTACATCTCTCTAACAAAATAGAGAATTTTATTTGAAACTTTTTGAATCTAAAGATGTTGATGAATTACAGCCCCACAATTAGTCTGGCCAATGTTCAGGGATGTTAGAAATCATAATGCAGTCACAACTGGGATTACAATGTTAGGAACTACTGCTTTACACAAATTGAGTTAAGCACATAAATATGATCTATGACATGTGGCCAAATGAACAGGAGTTGTGAGAAAGCAAGGACATGTCAAAGTTACTCTGCGGCATTTGGGACATCTTTCTGCTAAAGATTTTACCTTTCTACTGTCGATTCAAGAAACTAGCCTTGAAATGCTTTGTCCCTTCCCTGTCAGATCAAATCAACTATCCATTTGGACTTGTCCATCTCATCTCAATGAAGGTTTATTGAGTTCTCACATGTTCTTGTTTGCCAGTTCCATCTGAAATATCCCCAGGCTCTCCTGACAATGTTTACAAGGAAAATGATTCTTTGCTTATTGCCACCTTAGTCTCTCCAATTGCAACTGCTGGGCAACAAGAGAGGGAAAGCACAGTTCAACTTTGGAAGTCTAAATCTTCCATCTCAGAGTTGTCCATTGATGTTGAGGAGTTGATGGCCTGTTGTCACATGTAGCAGTGGGCTGTGTGCATGTGTGATTCTGACAGAGAAGATGGTCTGATACGATGTCAGAAGAATGTAGAGCTGTTATGGAAAAGATACTTTCCTGAGATCAAGGAAAATAGAAAATAGAAAACATGAGAGAAAATATTTCAAAATATCTCTTTGATTATATTAGAAAGAGTTTTGAGAGGTTTCACAATTCTGTTTATAATATCCTTTTAGCCAATCATTACTGGGTTTATCCAAAAGAGAAAATGACACTCTATTTATTTACTGTCCAAAAAAGCCCACTTATGTAACGATATTCCTACACTAGGAGCACTCCTATCTTATTACAGTAGTCGGATGGACTGGTGAAAATAGGAGCGAACTATATATATATATATANAGATCTTCTTTAAAGCGTGTTTGCATTGTTCAGGCTAGGTTTCTTACATAAGGATCATGTTTTTTTCAGTTTTCATTTATAAAGTCTATTGAATCATTTATGCAGACAATGTTATCCAAACTCGATATGAAAAACACTAATAAATACACAAAATAAGAATTACATTTGCAAAATCCTAATCTGTTTCACTATTTGCAGCTGAGTGGGATTTCATTATTTATTTATTGAATCTCTACACCACTCATTTCACCAAGTGACTCTGGGTGATTTACAACATCATAGTGAAACCATATAAATATGTGAAGAAAAGCATAGATTAAAAACAAAATTAAAAACAGTTTAAAACTTACAAGTAAAGATAAAAATCAAGTTAAAAATTCAAAAGGCTAAGAGGTTAGCAAGGCGGGGTGTGGGGTGTGCTCAGGCCACCAGCCATTCCCAGGGCTGCATTATACTTTTAGACCTCTATGTTAACACTGGGGTCTAAAACACAGACTTAATACTCTTCCAAAAGAGTGGGCACTCTCCACACCTCTAAGGGTATGATGCTTCATAGGGCAGGGCAGCACTGAGAAGACTCTTCTCC